GTCTGTCTGTCTGTCTGTCTGTCTGTCTGTCTGTCTGTCTGTCTGTCTGTCTGTCTGTCTGTCTGTCTGTCTGTCTGTCTTTTTGTAGAATCATAATATAAAAAAGAACCAAAGGGGACCATGAAAAGTGGTCGTTTGTACAGCTGATTGTCTTGAACAGGTGGTCGTTACAGCAGATTTAATATATTATTTGTCACGGACCGGACTTTTACATCAGTCATATATCTGCATTTTATTTTCAGATAAAAGAGCGCATTTGCATTTTCGTATTATGTGTTTATATATTATAAATTAATTGTTAGTATTAGTGTAAAAATATTAGTGTATATATATATATATATATAAAAGTCGAATCTAAAATTTGCTACTTTTCAGGAGACGAAAAAAACTTTCATTTCCAAACGGTTAGAGATACCGGTGTCATTTTTTGCATGTGAGCATCAAAGTACAGTCACGCTCGTACTTCTAATGAGCTTGTGGCTGCCTAGGCCACTTTCATGTAATGATGAGTTACGTTTAACTGCAAATCGAAACTTGCATGCAAACTGTAGCAACACTAGTTACGACAGTCAGATGTTGAAAACAATGTGTCGTATCTTGAGTTACGACTCTTCGGAATCCAAATTTCAACAGACAGGGGTATCGCAACTCCATATACGACAGTTTGGTTGCAAAAATCTCAGTATATTTCACTTACTTACAAGTACTTACTACTTTTAGGAATAAAAATAAACACACTACAAAGGTGCAATAGCTTTATTTTAGCACTTTACCAGAGTTGAAACATACAAATTAGGGTGATGTTTTCACCTCAATAATCAGTAGGAGCTGATAATTGAAAATTCAAGAACAAACTCAACATGCTCAATGCCTGGTTCTGGAATCAATATAGATTAAGAAAACATACAAGCATTAATTTATTCATGATCGGTTCCCAGCATGCAAGTGCCTTTCAATGACTCGTCTCACAACATTCATTCAATGTATTTATATTTCTTGAGAACAAAAATACGAGGACAAAATTTCTATACACCTAAGAGAGAACAACTAACAAACGGGCCTTTTTTTTAACGGAAAATCAAAATGCAGAGGGATGCATGCCGCTCTGCAGTTGAACAGTTACAAATGATTAATGGTATGGGTCATTTAAAAACATGAAGATGATTAGGCTTGAACGTAATTAAACCGTACAAGTTGTTTCCAAAGCTGTTTATGTCAAGGGCGCACAAGACCCTTCAATTCAGATCCCTTATACTTGGAATGACGCTTCATCAGAGTATAAACAAACACACTAGGGTGATGCTTCCACGTCAATAAGATTTCATTAAAAATAACAGAAAATTGAAAATTCGACAAGAAGTAAAACTCAAATTCTGAACGCCAGGCTCCTGAACCAGTATAGAATATTATAAAAGCATGTATGCATGAACTTATTTATGATAGATTCTACCCCAAGTGGGTCGGAGGGATATAAATAGACCCACTGCTTCGTCTGCAGGAGGTGTAACCCCTTGAAAGACGAGGTGTCGCACACGGACCCTAACCCTCTGAGATCCGGATGCGACACCGACTTTGGTGTATCTTCCTGTTCGCCTTCCTTCTTTTTTTCTTCTTTATCTTTTCTCACACCGCTGACCTCACCCAGAGAGGTCACCCATCCCACAGAGTGGGCGCCTTGTTGACCGTGAGGTGCGACCCGCGTGGAGGGAAACCAGGTACCTGGCGGTTGACATGAGATTAGTCTACGGACTGTCCCTCGCCAACACACCTCTTTGGCCCAGGTTTTCCTCTTAGACAGGAGGGTGGCACGTCCCATGCCTCTCAATTGGTTGGGAGTTGAAACTCCTTCAAGCCCAGGGTCAATCTTGACGGGAGGGTCTTGTGCATTCTCGTGGAGACTATTGCACCAGGGTAGCCATGGCACAGATCTGGTCATGCGAGCTATGTGTCCCCTTGTTGGGCTCGATGGCGGGTGGGGAGCCCGGAGTTGAACCAATAAAAACACTTACATAGAACCTTCTTCAAATAAAAACCCTTCCCCAACTGCCAACGTTATTAAAAAGTCTCTGCTCGCGGAAGCGGGTCGGGTGCGGCCGCCGAGCCGAGCAAACCTACCTCAAACGGAAAAAGGACCTTTACGGCAGCCTCTGCCCTCCCCCCTCTCAGGGAGCTTCCGCGGCAGCCGTACGTGACCATCTGCAGCACCGATGTGCAAAAAAAGATCACAGATCTTAACCATTTTAAAACAGGAGATTCACCACTACGACAGGTTCTGGGATACATTCCTACGAATGTCGAGAAACTGTCCACTGATGTTCTCCTCATCAAGTGCGCATCGGATAAAGAACTGGCCGGACTTGACACGATCACGACCTTCGGTGGTGTTCCTTATGTATCCGAGCGACACCAGAAGTTTAACCAATCGAAGGGTATGGTCCGCAGCCATGAGCTGAAGAGCTGCTCAAACCAAGAAATCGTGGATAACTGCGCGAGTGTGGTCGAAGCCCGCCGGATTACTCTTCGGCGGAGGGAGACCACATTTGAAACGAATACGATAATTCTAACTTTCAATTCGTGTCGCCCTCCAGCCACTGTTCGGGCCTCGTACTTGGTCTTGGATGTGCGACCTTATGTGCCAAACTCTCTGCGCTGCTTTCAGTGTCAGAAATTTGGCCATTGCGCGATAACAACGTGCAGCAGTATGTCCTCGCTGCGGCAAGACTGGGCATCCTGAGAAGGAATGCAAGGCTAGTCCTTGCTGCCAAATTGACAAGGCCAGCACACAGCCTTCAGCAAGGATTGCCCGACTTGGATCCAAGAACGCGCAATCCAAGAATGCAAAGCGCAAAATGGCTGCTCTTTTCAAAAAGCCCGCAAAGCTGTCTGCACGCCTTTTATGACACCTGTCCCTGGCCGGTCATATGCGAGCGTACTCCGGTCAATCACGAGGTCGCCAGTGCTTCCACTATCGACCACCCAGAACCCGCGGTCAACAAGCGACTTGCTGCACTGAGACCCAAAAAGGTTCTTCCTACCCCTGTTGTACCTACCTTTCAGGTGCCACTGACAAATCGCTATGGGGTTCTGAGGGAGGATGGGGTGGACTCTTCCTCCACCCCCTCTTCTCCCCTCCCCCCCCCGTTCTCCCCGTGCCCCCTCTTATATCCCTTCTTCTTTTTCTTCTTCTTCCACCTCATACTTCATCCCTCAGATGGAAAGTGAGGTGTCCCCTTCCCCCTCTTCCCAGCCCCCTCCGTATGCTCCACCACCCCCCAACCCTCCAGAAGACATCCCCCTACCCCACCAACCAATGGAAGAGGACAGCTCCGACACCCCTCCCCGGACTGACCCCGGGAAAGGCGGAGAC